CATCTATTGATAGAATCATATGATTTTTATCCTTTCTTTTGTTAATGTGTTGTATTATATTGATTAATTTACATATGTTGAACCATTCTTGTGTCCCTGGAATGAACCCCATTTGATTGTGATATATTATTTTTTTGATGTACTGCTGTATTCAATTTGCTAGTATTTTGGTTAGGATTTTTACATCTTTATTCATCAGAGATATTCATATGTAGTTTTCTTTTTTTGTGTTAGCCTTGCCAGGCTTTGGTATCTGGGTTATGTTGGCCTCAAAAATGTGTTAAGAAGTATTGTCTTTCTTCAGTTTTTTGGAAGAGTTTGAAAAGGATAGATTTCAGACCTTTATTGAATGTTTGATAGAATTCACTAAAGAGCCCATCTGGTCCTGGAATTTATTTTTTGGGAAATTTTTGATGGTTGTTTCAATTTCCTCACTGCTGATCAGTCTATTTCCATATTCCAATTCTTGATTCAATCTAAGAAAGTTATATATTTCTAGGAACTTATCCATTTCTTCTAGGTTATTGAATTTGGTGGCATATAGTCTTTCATAGTATTCTAGTATGACCCTTTGTATATTTGTGATGTCTGTAGTAACTTCTCCTCTTTCATTTCTGATTTTGTTTCTATGGGTCTTTTCTCTGTTCCTTAATGAGGTTAGCCAGGAGACTCTCAATTTTATTAATTTTTTTGAAAGAACCAGCTATTTGTTGTATTAATTTTTATAATCTTTTTTCCTCTGTTTCATTCAATTCTGCTCTAATTTTTATGATTTCCTTTCTTTTGCTGACTTTGAGTTGCTTTTGTTCTTCTTTTTCTAGTTCTTTAGGGTGTGATGTTAGGTTGTTTACTTGGGATTTCTCCTGTTTCTTGAGATAAGCCTGTAATGTTATAAACTTCCTTCTTATTGCTGCTTTTGCTGCATCCCAGAAGTTTTGATATGTTGTATTGTCATTCTCATTTGTCTCTATATCCGCTGATCTCACTTTTTACTTCTTCTTTGACCCACTAATTTTTAGCACTATGTTGTTTAATCTTCACATATTTGTGGGTTTGTTTAGTTCATTTTTGCAGTTGATTTCTCATTTCAAGGTATTGTGGTCAGAAATTATGCTTGGTATAATTTATATCTTCTTTAGTTTGTTGAGGCTACAGTTGTTACACAACATATGGGTTGTCCTTGCAAATGTCCCATGTTCACTGGAAAAGACTTTATAACCTGATATTCTGGTACAAAAGGCTCTGTAAATGTGAATTTTGTCCCTTTGTTCTAATGTGTCATTTAAGGAAGATATTTTCTTTCTTTATTTTCTCTTTAGATGATCTATCTAGAGCTATCAATGGAGTATTGAGGTCTCCAACTATTATTGTGTTTTGGTCTGTTTCTCCCCTTTGTTCTGTTAGCAGTTTCTTTATATATTTCAGTGCTAAATGATTGGGTGCATATATATTAAGAAGTGTTATGTCTTCTTGATGTAGTGTCTTCTTTACCATTATATAATGTCCATCTTTGTCCCCTGTTATCTTTGTTATCTTGAAATCTATTTTGTCAGATATAAGTAGGGCTACACCTGCTTTTCTGTGGATGATATTTGCTTGGAGAATCATTTTCCACCCTTTCACTTTGTATCTACTCTTGTCTTGTCTTTGCAGCTTAAATGTGTCTCCTGATGGCAGAATAAGGTTGGATTTTATTTTTTGATCCAGTCTCCTTCTCTGTGCCTCTCTATTGGTGAACTCAGCCCATTTACATTAGGGCAATTACTGATATATGAGCATGTCCTATAGCCATTTTATCTTTTGTTTTCTAGTAGCTTTGTGCCTCCATTGGTTCTTCTTTATGTTTCTATCTGTTGTTTTTGTTTGGTGGTATTCCATACTTCTTTCTTCTGTTTCCTCTTTTTTAAAGCTACATGTCTTAGTTTTGTTTTTTTGTGTGCGTGGTTACCTTTATGTTTATGAAAAAGAAAGTTTTATATATACAGTAGGGTTTTTGTGTGTTTTTTTCTTTCAAGTGCATCTGATTTCCATCCTCCTTTGTAAATTCAGACTTTTACCCCTCCCTTTTTATGTTTTTCTTGTCACAAATTATCCTTGTTTGTGCTATAAGTTTGTTGGTGAACTTATTAGTAGTGCTGTGACCTTTTGTTCTTTGTTTCAGATAGAATAACACCCTTGAGTATTTTCTGCAATAGAAATCTTCTGATGATAAATTTCCTCAACTTCTGTATGTCTGGAAAAGTTTTTATTTCTCCTTTATATTTAAAGGAAAATATTGCTGGATATATTATTCTTGACTGGCAATTTCTTTCCTTCAGTAGTTTGAATATTTGGTTCCACTCTCTTCTGGCTTATAGAGTTTCTGCTGAGAATTCTGATGATAACCTGTTGGGCTTTTCTATATATGTCACTTCCTTATTTTCCTTGGCTGCCTTGAGAATTCTTTTTTTGTCATTAATTTTTGACAGTTTTAATAAAATATGCCTTGTAGAAGGCCTCTTTGGATTGAGGTAACTAGGTGTTCTGGTTGCTTCTTGAATTCAAGGATCTAGCTCTTTCCATGGATTTGGGAAGTTCTCAACTGTTTGTGTGAATAGGCTCTCCATTCTCTTCTTCTCTTTTCTTCTTCTGGTATGTCTATTATTCTTATATTGCTTTTTATGATTGAGTTAGATGGTCCTTGTAGAGCTCTTTATTTTCTTTAGTGTGTTTGTGTGTGTGTGTGTGCGCGCGCTCAAGTCTCTCTCTTCTTCCCTCTGCATCATTTCTAGACTTCTATCTTCGATATCAGTAATTCTTTCCTCCATCTGGTCAGCTCTATTTCTTATGCTCTCTAGTTCATTACTGATATTTTTTATTTAATTCTTCATATCCAGAATTTGTTTGGTTCTTTTTTAAAGTTTCAGCATCTTTAATAAAGTACTCATTTTGCTCATTAATTTTTTTTCTGAATGCATTGAATTGCCTCTATTTTCTCCCATATTGTTGAGTATTTCCAGAACTGCAATCTTGAATTCTCTGTCATTTATATCACGTTTCCATGTGTTCAAGCTTTCTTACTAGAGATTTTTTATTTTCTTTGTGAGCTTCCTTGCTACTTTGGTTATTCATGGTATTTGATAAGTTCCTTCTCTGTTTAGGCATCTATGTATGAGTGGCACTTAGATTACTATGAAGAGGTCTTTTAATTTTTTTAGTAGGTGGTGCTGAATCACAAATATTTTAGCTCTATGAAATCCCATAGCTGATGCCCATGGCTGCTGTCAGTGTAGCCATAGTGTTTGGGGATGGCATTCTCTGGGAGAATTCGGCTTATAGAGTTCTTTGTTTTGCCCTCTTGAGAATGGTGACATCAAACTCCACTGGGTACCTTTTGCTCAGGAGAAATAGTGATTCTGTAGAAACAATTCTCAGGTTTGCAGGTAATGTGCTCAGCAACCCAGTACCAAAAGCTCTATGGCTTTCTTTCTTTGTCTGGAATGCCAACCACCCAACAGCGGCAACAGAAACCTTGTGCTCTGTCCTTGCCCAGGTTTCTCAGCTCAGTTGCAACTCCTGCTGCTCACTCTTGCAAGAGTGCTCACCCAGTCTCTCTGCTCCTCCCAGTTGAAGGTATTGCCAGCCAGAGCCAGCTTCCTCCACTCTTCAGGTTGAGCTCTGCTCTGGGCTCCAGGCTGCAAGGTTGTGTCATGGCTAGTCTAAGCCCTCCTCCTTTCTCACCTCCCCTATTTGTCCCACTTGCCAACCTTCAGATGTTTCAATATGCGACACTCTCAAGCATGTCTGTATGTTGAGTAAAGAATCTTTTGCGAAGGATTAACTATTCAAACTATTGAAATTATAGGCAAAGAGACCAAGGGAATCTCTCATGTTACCATTCTTTGATGTCATTCAACAAATAGTTTTTCTTTAGGAAATTTATAAATTTGGGGCCACTCATGAAAAATCAATGTGAAAATATACAAGCACATATTTGACAAATTAATTCACAATATTATGATGATTAGAATATGATGTAATTATAAATAATTAGATAGAACATTTAGGAAATTTATTATGGATGAATTAAATATTTTATAGAATAAACATTCTCCATCCCAGCATATCTATCTCCCAGCCACATTAATTACATATATGCATAAATATCACAATTTGGTTCTTTTATTAATCAAAGTAACTGAATAGTTGCCAAATTTATTCATCAATTTATGGTGCATAAATATAATGAACAACTTCAGAATTTTGTAGCAATATTTATAATTACAAAATTTTTGAAAGCCATATCAGTTACTGTACAAGTGTGTAAAATAAATGTTTTATTTTTATTAAATTTCATTATTTAAAAAAAAAAATCTAAACAATACTAAAGAATTGATATTGATAGGTTTTAATGTTAGTTTGGAAAACCTATTATTGTGTCCTACCAAACCATTTTGTTAACAGAATTTAACATAAATTTTTAAGGTCTGATAGATTGCAGGTATATTAAATCTATATTGTTTGTCTGTGCAGAAAGACTGAACATGTACCAGCTGCCACTATTTGCAAGTTTCATTTCAGAGTTCTCAAGTGTTTACTTTTGTGATATATCTTTCTTACTTAGAGAGTAGGATCACTCTCCAGGCCTTGGCATGGACTTTATATCAATGTAAATGCTTATACTATCAATAAACATTCACCATGCCCTTGTGTTTATAATCCTTCATAAATTTTCTAGGAAAGGAAATGCAAACTAACTTTTCTTGAGCCTCTACTACATACCTGACATGGCACTGAGCCCTTTTACTTTCTTCTCTTATTGAACTCTCTTGATATTCCATTAATTTCACAAGAACAAAAAATATGCTTTTGTCTAAAGATATGTGTTTAAGACCAGGTACTGCGGATGTACATGCTTTCAGGATAAGTGAGAGGTCAACATTTCAAATGTTATGCATTCAACCAATATGAAAATTTTGGTGCATAGATGGCATTTCCTTTGGTGCTTTCTTTTGTGTCAGGAACGGATCCCAGAGAGTCCTTCTCCTGCTCCCTCTCTGGAAGAGAGTCATCGCCCTGGGAGCCAGACCTCCTCCCACCCCAGCAGCAGTGTATCCAGCTCTCCCTCTCAGATGGATCTTCATTCAGACAGAATGGGTAAGTATTTCACCTGAAGCAAGGACTTTAAAGATACTCTTTCAAGAAATCCTTTATTAGGTAACAGAGAGGGGGAAAAGGAGCTGGAGTATCTGATGCCTCCTTAGTAAAAATGGTGTTTTAAATTGTTTTCTTTTGTTGAAGCATATGAATAACAAAGTGTTAGATGTTTGTTTCCTGGTAAGGCCTTCATTTACTGTATCCTTGGATCTCATGGGTATAATATGATGGGATTTTTGCAGAGTATATGTTAGTTAAATATGTTGCTATTTAACAGCTAACGTGATACAATACACTTGTTACATTCACAGCATCTTCTCTTAAACATGGAATTTAAAATTTCCTTTAGGCAGTTTATCATTTGAGTGATTAAAAGGTCAATCAATATATGGTTTGCTACAATCTCAAAATTTGGATCACAAATATTTGATATGGTTTCCCCTAGTTTTTTATTGTCTCAGGAATCTTATACCATAGACACAATTTCAAAAATACTATGTTGCTCTTAGTGGTGTGATATATTAAAGATTTGAATCTAGCCACAGTTCTGGCACTAACTAGCTAGGAAATCTTGGGTATGTCACTTAACCTCCATCAGTTTCTTTATCTAATATGAACATAATTACTATTCTGCTTAATACACTGGATTTTTGTGAGGTCAAATGAAATAATATCTGGAAAAACACTTCAGAAGTTTAAAGTGCTAAGGAAAAGTGAAGGATAAACACTATTTTTCTCTGTGTGTCTTTACCTTGTTTGCTTATCATCTCTTGCTGTCTGGCCTTACTCAGTTACACAGATATCACTAAGTGTATTCAGCCAATTGTAACAAATTCTCATTTAGTATATAATTATGAACCATGTGAGCTAGGCAAAATCTTTGTTAATCTTCTGTACCTACACAATCCAATTTCTTAAGTATCTATTTCCTTTAGGGAAAATGAATTTTGCTCTTCTTTTAGTCTTATTTACTATAGGGACACTCTTTATTTGAACTCTAAATTTTATACTTCCCAGTAATGATTGCTTATAGCCTCTCCAAAATAATGACTTTTTTACCCCCACTGGGCTGGGTGGGGGGAATTGAAGGATTAAGGAAGGTGTTATGTCCTGAATTTGTGTTGGAACAGATGAATATGATTTCTCTCTTGTGGAAATTTATCCAAGTCCTTCTTAGCCTGTCAACATTATATGTTGTTTATGGCTTTTTAACTTCATAGTGAGCACAGTGGATCTCAAACCTGGATCCTCATTATAATCACTTATGGAGCATTTACAAATCTGAATGCCTAGGCTGCATGCTAAGAGTTTGATTTACCTGGTCTGGAATAGAGCCTGGCAGAAGTGCTTGGTTTTGCTTTTCAGTATCACCTTAGGAGATTTTAATGTGTAGCTGGAGTTAAAGACCACTAAGATAGAACTTGAGGCTAATGGACCTAAGGGAGTAAGTTTAATTCCTGGAAAAGTTGACATTGGTCTTCTAGCTTTACTGTTCCGTGAACACAGACTACCTGTTTGTTACAACATTGCATGCAATTGATAGGAGGGCGTCTGAGCAAGACAAGCAAATATAAGCTGGATGACCACTGATGAATAAAAAAAACGAAAGACACATCTTCTTTGGAGATATTGTGTTTTGATGAGTAACTGAGAAAAAAGGAAGGGGAGATAATTTTTTATTGAGTGCTGACTAAAAGCAGAGCACATAGGATAGATATATCATAAAAGTATTGCATCTTACACTTAGAAGTAAAATCAAATATTTCCAAAGGGGTATGATGTTCTAAAAACATCTTGAAAACATAAAACATTTCTAATTCCCTTGGCAATAATTAAGCTTTCAATCACATTCTAAATTGTCCAAACACATAGTGAGATTGTCTATAAATGAAAAAAGGGTTTGATGATTTTTTATTTTAAAGTTATATAAAGTTTATTTTAAAGTTATATAAAGTTTAAATAAAATATAACTAAAGAAAATTAAATGATAAACTATGAAAATTGGCATGAGTTCCCTCTTTAAATATAAAATTTTTGTGCACAAACACAATAAAACAGAAAGTTATATTTTATCTATTAATTTTACTATATATATGTGCAAATACTCTAAAGTAACATAATGCATAATGTTTTAAATTTATGAACTTAAGTGGTACATTTTCTTCAGAAGCATTTTGGGAAATATATTAATTACAGAGGTAAATAGCTAATTTGCACAAACATTTTGAAAAAGAAATATTTTAAATGATTTAAAGGAATATGTTGGCAATTATATATTAATTTTATTTTTAAAAATCACATAATTAAGCAGCTAATTGATTTGTAAATTATATGATTATCTGACCAACACAAATGTTTTTACTGTTTCAGAAGTGTATAAAATTCATGTTAGTTGTTATTGAAATAAAGTAGCCATTTGTACAACGCTTTTCTGCCTTTCTTTTGAGTGAATTGCAAGGAATCACTCAGTTATATCTCTTATTTACAGTTATGATGTCCAACCATAGAGAGGAACTTATTGCTGATCAGGATAATGGACCAACCATCAAAAAATTCCAAAGGGATAATAAAGGTAAAATAATTTTTTCTTATGTGATGTACATATAAAGATTAGATACAAACTCAATTAACATACCAGTACTGTCTATTGCATCCACATTTCCTTAAGTCAGAATAGATCCATACTGGCTTTAGATAAATGATTTTTGTAGGAAAACAATAGTGTTTACCTGAAGCTTGTTTATTTGCTGTTTTAAATTACATAATCAGCCTGAAGTTTGTCTGTGCCTGCAGTTGGAAATGTAACCTTACAACCCTTTTATTATGCCTGATTAGAGACATCCGACTTCTTTTTTAAATTGTACATCCACTTTGCTAACAATTTTAACTTATTTTTATTATTTTAATGTATCTTTTATTTTTTTAATCTTTATTGTTGAAAGTATTACAAATGTCCCCTTTTCTTCCCGTCATATTTTTATTTTATGAAAATTTTTTCTAAGTTATCTTTATTCTTGAAAGTATTAGAGATGTCCCCTTTTCCCCCATTGATCTCCTCCACACAGCATCCACTGCACCCCCAGGTCTTCTCCATACCAATATCTGTGTCCATAAATTATGCATATAAGCATATACGTTCTTTGATTAATCTTTCCCCACATACTCCCATACAATGGAGTAAGACAGTCTCTTGTTAACTATTTTCAAATGAGTCACCATTTGATGGTTATGCTTGAAAACTGAATTTCTGTCACAAAGAAGAGATATTTCCCTCAACTTTCAAAAGTGATTTTAAAAATGTATGCTAATTTGGACATTTCAGATGAAAGCTTAGCAAGGAACTCCAATCAATATTTACCTGGAATGGTAGTAGATATGACATTAATCTGGCTTTTGATCAACTGAAGTACATTTACCACCTCTGCATAGTATGCAGTTTTTCTTAAGATACCTGTTTAAAGAAGGTAGGGAGTAACAATTTCAAAGTCACGTTATCTTGATATGAAAGCTGAGTACAATCTTGCGTAAAAAGCTGCAAAAGTAAGAAAAAGGGAAAATACATCAACATATTTCAAAATATTTTTGAAAATATATCAAACATCCATCAAATGTTTGTAAGCATATGTTATAAGTTTTGCTTTATGACTATCACCGTGAGTTAGACAGTAACTGTGAGCTGAACATAAACTAACATGTAATCTATCCGATCCTCAGATGGGCTGTTTGTACTTCCCTGTAAGGTGCATTTTTTCTATCTCTACTAAAGATGCTCATAATAGAGAAAAAAGACTTTCTGAACTGAAGACTTAATAGATACATTTTTCTTTCTTCTCTAGATTGAACTTCCTAATAACCTAAATGAGCATTTTAGTTAGAATTTGGAGTAATGTATGATTTTAATTTTATTGATCCATGGTTGATTTCCTTGCCACCTGTTTAGTATTTTCTCATCCAAGCACTGAAAGGCTATATCCTCTGGGGCTCTGAAATGTAAATGATTGATTTCAAAATAGTCAGAATGAAAGAAGTTAAGTTCAGTATATTAAACTACCCAAATTCTTACACAGGTAATGAAATTCTAGTTAAAGATGAAACTTTATTCATAACCCAATAATAGTTTGTTCTTGAGAACTCTTTCCCACTTACCAAGTCATGACTATTTAAAGAACAGCTTGATAGTAAAGCAACTTTTCTAGGAAAATATCAAGCTGTACCTGGTAATATGATTTTATTGGTACTGCAAACTCCTTAAGTTAAAATGACATTTAGGGCTGGCCTGGGTACTTCAGTGCTCAAGTACATACTGCTGTGTCTTATGAGAAATCAGCTGGAGCACTTATACAGATATACAGGTAACTGATTTTCATAAAATACACAGTGGTACCTACTGGCACTTTTGAATATCTTGCTGTGTAATGGCACAGTTTTACACCCTTCAAAGAGGTTGGTCACACAGTCTGATGAAGACATTAATAGACAGGAGTGGCATATTAAACTGCATCTTTGTTATAACAGAAAACTTTCTTTTAATTGAGGTGGCCTATGTCTAGTACTGCCAGTTATATTTGTGATATTAAGACGAAATGTATTTCCTTCAAGTAAATTTTGCTATTAAAAGGGAACATAGTTAAAGTAGAAGCCTCAACATTTATTAAGTATGACAAGTAAGCAGTTTATACAACTGTTGCAAACATATGTTTTCACATCTGTTTTGAGTAATATCATCATGATTTTAAAAATGATTTATAGCTTTGGAAATTAAAAAATGTCAGCTTTGCTATTATGTGGAAATTTTTAGAAAATGAAGAAATATCATTAGAGTTTGCTTCATGTAGCCTGTCTTTTACTATGCCTTGTAAAATTGGGTGAGAGTGCGATACATGTCTCAAATGATAATTTGCATTTTGCTTTACGTTTTTATATGCAGACTGTTCATGTCTTTATTCTCAGGGCTTTCCTGGCAGTAATGTTCATCTAGACTGTATCCACTATGACTTACCAAAATAGCTATTTTAGTTTTGACTCAAAACTCTAGTTTGACTCAAGTCCTGTATTTTGACTACACCAGATGGTCAGTCAAGTGAAGACTTTGATTTTACTTTCCACAGACTTTTTCAAACAAATTGGCCAAGTCAATTTGCATTTTACATTGTTGTGTTACATGGCTTTTAACAGCTCTGGTATTTTTAGAACAGTCAGGATCATCTTCCTTAGTTTACTCATGTAAAAGCAAAGACAAAAAGCAAGACCCTCTTCCCTTGACAGCCTCTGGTCTCTCAAACAACTAGCAAGAATAGGGGCTTTTGATATTTTACATTTTGTATTGAATGCATTTATTGAAAGCTTTATATATAAGAAGTACTGATTATCAAATCTGAAATACTATAGAAACAGTAGAACAATAAATTTATCATGTAGCCCAAAACTTGAGTCCTCTGAACCATTACAATTTAAATCAACCCACAGGATATAGATGGAAAGCTTACTAGTTTTAACATCTTTGGATCATAACAATCTAAAGTATATCTCATGGTGAATAAAAGTATTATCACATTTATTTATATGCAGATAGGCTAATTTCAATTTAGAGGAGGGTTTGGGCTACATATTGAGAGTATAATAATGTAAATATCCTGTATTTTATAAGATGCATCTCTTTCTTTATTCTGAGAAAACTTAGATGCTATACTAAATCTTTAAGACCTAGTGGTACTATTCAGTTGGAAATTATTATTGACCCTTATTAAAATGAGAAATATATCTTTTGAATATTATTTTTTTTTAATAAGAGAGACTTATGTACTGGGTCAACTAAAATATATACATCATTGCAAATGTATTTTACAATGAAGTTAAAATACATAATGGTGATTCCACTTATATGTGGACTCTAAAGAACAAAATAAACAAACAAACAAAATAGAAACTGACTCATAGATACAGAGAATAGATTGACAGTTGTCAGAAGAGAGGGAGGTTAGGGGGCTGGGTGAAAGAGGTGGGGGGATTAAGCAGTAATTTGGTAGTTACAGAATAGTCACAGAGATGTAAATTACAGCATAAGCAATATAATGAATAATATCATGATAATTATATAAAGGACTAGGTGGGTGCTTAAAGCATTGGGGGAACATTCTGTAAAGTACATGATTTTTTAACAACTTTGTTATACATCTGAAACTAATACAGAATAATACTGAATGTAAACTGTAATTGAAAAATTAAAAAATGCATAATGGAAAGTAAAATACACATTTTTTTGCATTTTATGCCATTCAATATTTCTAAATAGAAGAAAAACAAGGAGTATATCTTACTGGAAAATTTATTTGAATTACTTTCATTTTTAATACTTTCTATTTATAACCAAGTATGCATTCACAACAAGTTGCCAAAAGAATATGGAGAGATTTCATGTACCATTCAAGCAATCTCTCCCAATGGCAATATCTTGTATAATTATATGATAAAAAAAATAAGAAAATTTACATTGGTGTATCCACAGGCCTTATTCTAATTTCACTAGTTTTCCACACATTCATTGGTGTGTATGTCTCTATATGTATCCCTTAAATGAAATTTGATCACCTATGTAGATTGGTATAACTACCACCATAATCAAGATATAAGACTGTGATAAGGGGTTAATATCCAAAATATATAAAGAAGTCACATATCTCAAAAGAAAAAAAGGAATTTGATGAAAAAATGAGTGGAAGATCTATATAGACATTTTTCCAAAGAAGAAATACAGATGGCCAACAGGCATATAAAAAGATCCTTGACATCATTAATCATCAGACAAAATGCAAATCAAAACCACAATGAGATATCACTTCACACCTGTCAGAATAACTATTATCAAAAAGACAAGAAATAAAAAGTATTGGTGAGGATGTTGAGAAAAGGAAACCCTTGTACACTTTTGGTAGGAATATAAATTGGTGCAGCCACTGTGGAAAACAGTATGAAGACTTTTGCCAGAGGGGAAGGTGGTTGGGAGAGGCTGAAAAAGGTTAAAGGATTGAGAAGTACAGATAGGTAGTTACAAAATAGTCATGGGGATATAAACTACAGCACAAGGAATATAGTCAATAATATTGTAATAACTATGTATGATGTCAGGTGGGTACTTAAAATATCAGGGGAATCACTTTGTAAAGTATATGACTCTCTAAACACTATGCTGTGTGCCTGAAACTAAAACAAAATAATATTAACTGTAATGGAAAATTTTTTATAAATAACTACTGCACGTGCCTGGGTTGCAGGCTCGATCCCTAGTTGGGGGCATGCAGGAGGCAGCCGATCAATGATGACTCTCTCATCGTTAATGTTTCTTTCTCTCTCTCCCTCTACCTTCCTCTCTCTGAAATCAACAAAGATATATTTTTTAAAAAATAACTACCATATAATCCTGAAATTCCACTTTTGGGTATTTACCCAAAGAAAAACAAAAGCACAAATTTGAAAAGATATGTACACCCATATGTTCATTGCATTACTTACAATAGCCAAAATATGGAAACAACCTGTGTTCATTGACAGATGAATGGATAAAGATGTGGTTTA